ATTGTCATACATACTGAAATATGTATTAACAAAACTTCAAGGTAGAAAAAACGACTTAGTCCAAAATTTATCAATGTGTATGTATCCTACCTTTGAAGATTTTTAGAACAATCAAAATCTGTAAAATAACTGTGATAACAATAAAAATGTTATTGACAAAATATTTAAATTTTGTTGCTTTTATTATTTCTTATGATAAAAGATGTGGTTTACATCTTTTTCTTTCACGTTATGATCACATTACATCAAACCACATTGGGGAATGTCCCCCTATGTTTCATTCACGGTGATTTATTCTATTTGGCTAATCACATACTAAAACATTTGGATATGCCACAGATATTATACACATTGGGCTGTAGGTATATTGAGAAATTGACATCATAATTTTTTTTTCAAATGAGGATTCGCCCAGACGAGGGATATCCATCTGAAGAAATGACTTTGTTTAAACAACTGAAATATAGAGGTTCTTTTCAGGACCATGACATACTGAGAAAAATGTGATTTCACATATCACATCTACTGATTTCGCACTTCTAATATTTACAATGAACATCAGAATTAATCTATTGTTTAATCTTTCTTGCAAGTTTGCTATCAACGATTAGCTATAAATGCAATCATGATGCCCCTATCTTCATGTTTTGTGAACAAATGTTTCAGTATGTGGGAAAACAGTCTTATTTCGAGTTTGTGATTTTACTTACATACGCTGATAACAGCATTTGATGTATTAGATGGTTAAACACATTTGATAGAAACATGAATAATCAGATTGTGATGAATCAGACTAAATATCCAATTGGATTGAAGTGTCCACACTGTTTGGAGATGACTTCTATCATTTATTCTAGGTTAATGACCCTCAGATAGAAATGGAAAGAACGCCTATACATAACTAGTTTTAGTCAGCATTATGTAAAAAATTCCAAACCAGCAAGGAAGAAGCTCAAGATAGAGATTTGTGAAACTTTCTACAGAAAGTAAAAATATAATTTTCTACAATAGCAATGGTTAAACATAGTTATTTGCATAGATCGTTTAAAACACAATTTTATTGAAGCAAATAAATTTATACAGATAAAAATGGAACTTAAATTATTGTATGTTATTTAGAGATTTGAATAAGCATCCTTTTCAGGGCAACTCGATGTAAGGGTATGCTATACAATATATGAGTTATAGAAATGAAAAATAAAGCATTACAGGTAATTGTTATATATATATAACGTCAGAAAATGCAAACGGTGTGTCATATTTCATGCAGTTAAATACAGAAGTGAAAACTATATTCATATACTACTGTATGTTAAATGTATTAGTAACCTATCCTATAGAAACTTCGTTTACCTTTATAAAACACATGTAATACAATTAAATATATAAATTACAATTATAAACATAAATTCAAACAAGTTGAAAACTGCATGCAAGCCTACGAAAGTATAGTAACACTGACTGTTTATAGAAACACCATCTGCTTTTCTAAAACCTAAGTTAAGCCTGTGATTTAACTAATATATGTTAATGATATCTGCTTAAAACATATTGAAGTTTATATGGGTGAAAGTATAAATGATTTGAAATGTAAAATTTGTGACATATTTGAATCTTTTATTCATTATAGAGTAAATATATGATATGCTATTTTGAATTTATGTACCCTATAACTGTTGAAAAGTAGAATTCCATGAATGCACGTTTAGTGTTTTGTACAGATTATTTAGAAAATTCAACCAACGCCCTTCTCAGAGCGAATAGATGAAAAATGTGTCATACAATATATTAATTATAAAAGCAAAAAACTATAAATCTAATGAAATAATATGCAATGACCAAATGCTTTCTCAAGAACTTTTTAATTGTTTTGCTAAAAAGATACGCAAAATACAATAAACATAATATTTGGGACAACTCAATCTAATGAAATATTATGCAAAAATAAAATGTTTTGTCAATAACTTTTTTACGATTACGCTAAAAATACGTAAAAACAATCAGCGAAATAAATGTCTTGTTCAAATATATATCTCTGCAGAGGGCGCGTTGCTAGGAGAGGGGTAACATCATATGATTTCATAATCAACATTATAGTTTTAATGAAGTGATTCCTTTTTACCTTTTACCTTTTATAGTTAAAACTATAATGTTGATTATGAAATCATATGATGTTATCCCTCTCCTAGCAACGCGCCCTCTGCGGAGAATGAAGTGATTCCCTTTTTACCTTATCCGCGCTCAAATTCCATCTTAACTACTACCCTAGTCTTATGTTAAACATGCATACCATAGGTACTTATTATTAACATCAATCTATGGGGTAATAGTAAAAACACAAACAAATTGAAATATTTGCTTTTGCTTCATAATATTTTATCGGTTACAGAATTGTGTGCTGAATATAATTTGAATGGAGGTGAACCTAGGAGTTACAAGTGTGCAACAGAAGTACCGATATAACTTTATGATTCTTATATAACCAACTTGTATTTATTAAAACACTTGAAAAGTTGTAAAACTATTAGAAAAGAATGCGCTTGTTGTTTACAGAAGTAAATTTGAGCTTTCTAGTTTAAACAATTAACAGAAAACATAATACCATGTGCTCTTCATCTGATCGGGTGTAAGAAAATGTTAAAAAAAGATTTAGACAAATAACACATAACCATGAAATTATAAAGAAATACAATTCTATAGAAATAAAAACTTTCTTTTATTCGATTTCTAACCCTTCTACGTGGTTACACATACATAAGAGATTCCTAAGGTATGAACAGTGGCTCCTTTAATGACACGTGCATTTTCATACAACTGTTATAAGAATTTCATATAATTACTGCCACGTGTTTTGTGTAACTTAATAAGAAATAGCTAAAGAGAAATATCGTTCAAAGCCTACATTGTTTGTTAATAAGCAAAGAACTAAACTATGGACTATCTGTGCTGTGCTCACAGCGGGTATCGAAACCCATGTTTAGTGTGATAAGCCCTCAGAAGACTTACCACCGATCGACCGGAGGCTTATGTTGTTGTATCGAATGATATTAGGTCGTCAAGAAATTAATGTCGCTTTTTTAAATGCAAAAACCCGAACAATATATATATCAAAACAAAACATTTATTAAATGAAATAGTCTCCATGCCCTGATTAAAGAAATCACTTGGCTTTGAGGCAAAAACATGTCGATATCCTTGTTAACACTTTCCACATTTGTATACGTTTTCAAATTAAGATGGTGTTGCAGCGAGCGAAAAAGATGGTAATCTGATGATGCCATATCTGGAGAATATGCTGGGTGGGGAGAATTTCTCAACCCAACTCCATAATCTTGTGTTGCATCAAACGTGCCACATGTGGACGTGCATTGTCGTAGAGAAGAAAAGCAACTTTCCGATTGACGAGTGAAGGGCGTTTCTGATGAAGGGCTTGATTTAAACGTTCCAGTTGCCGACTATAGATCTCTTCATTGACAGTTCGCTTTGGGTTGAGGAGTTCAAAATAAATTACTCCTTTGATGTCACATCAAATGCAAAGCATCACTTCCTGAGAATAGAGTCGAGGTTTTGGGGTCGGAAGTGGTTATTGTTAGCGTTTATCTTCGCATAGAGAATCCACTTTTCATCATCGGTGACAATTCTGTCCAAAAATGGTTCGCGCGCATTAGGCGCCAGAAGAGACGAAGCAACGTTCATACGTTGGAAACGATGATCATCGGAGAGTTCATAGGCACCCAAACACCTTCTTTATGGAGTTTTCCTGTATTCATTAGATGTTTACTTATTGTTTCATGAGAGACATGAGATTTCAGGGCCATTTCACGAGTGTGTTGCCTTGGGTTAGACTGAACAAGTGTCTTCAGAGTATCAATATTAATTCCAACATGCCAGCCCCTGCCATCACAGTTTTTAAATCTAAAGTCACCTGAACGAAATTTGCTGAATCTTCGTTGACACTTACGGACGTTCAAAACATTTCCATAAACTTCTTTGATATTCTTTGTGGCTACAGAGGCGTTGTATCCCTTCTTGTATTCAAACAGCATTACATTACTAAACTTTACACATTATATAAGCTACATTAAGGTGACGTTTAGGCGGTTCGTTTAACTATTATACACGACGTACGTTTCTTGGAAGGTGGTTAATTAAAGTGTTCACAAACGCGACATTAATTTCATGACGAACTAATATATATGTGTGTGTTACTTTATGTACTTTACTTATCTCAAGCGCTTAACCTTAGTCGAAAAGCACTTTTCAAGTAAAAGATGTGTAAGTCATAAGTGTTTATTTAGCTCGTTACTAAATGTTACATTTTACAGCAAATAAGAATGTTTCACAAACTCGCAACAAAATTTCACCTCTAGTAAAATAAAATGTACGTCCAATAAAAGTATGACCTACAATTTAAATTGAAAATGTTTGTAGTAATCGACAATATTTTATTATGAACAGATAAAATCAAGCAGGGTTTTATATTTCCACCCTTATAGTCGACAGAGTTTGAGAGCAAATTAACTGATAACAAGAGGTATTGTAATTTGACAATTCCGTGTGATATCTGATAACAAGAGGTTAAAAATTCCGTGTGATATTCTTATTGGATCCTTGGATTTATTCTATTGTTTCATAACAAGTGGCAGTAATATATCAAACGTTTCTTTTGGTTTCTAATATGTTGATGCCGTAGTGAATGTGTAAAGTAGATTTTTCATTTAAATCAAAGAAATGATTCAGTATTTTTCTCCAAGTCAGAATTAATCTTTTCTGCGAAAATAAGCTTTTTGCTAGAGACTTAATAAAACGACGTCAACATGAAACAATTAACTTAAAAAATCCATATACATCAAACCCCTCTCAAATAATACATCGAAACTCCCTGAAATCTATTCGGTATATAAGAGTTTTAACATTGTTAAAAAAACACTTGAATAAGATTTTAGCCTGCAGTCGATACATGCATTTATTATACAGTTTTAGATGAAAAAAAATCCTACCTGAGTAACAGAGTAAAGCTCGAACGATTAAAAACACTTGTTCTGTCATGAGAGACATTATTTTCTTGTAATGGTAAAAAATCTGAGATCCAGGTGGTGTACAAGCAAACGTTAGAACATGCGTTTTCTATAAATATACACAGGTTAAAGTTTTACAGAGTTGCTGCTTATTCTGCACAGGCATGGGTACTGCGTGCAAGCCCTCCTGGTACGATATTGCAATGTTAGGTGTAGTAGTAAAACAGCCAGATCATTGTCAGCTGACATGTAGTAGATCCAAAACATGGTAGAAGCGTAACATAAATCATGCTTAGAGTAACACTTGGCTAATCATTGATAAATACTTCTATCTTTTTAGATTACTAATAAGTTTACATTTACCTTCCTAAATCTAGTAATAAATATATATGTAGTATAAAAATGACAGAGCTGGAACTACCAGCAGAGTTTTCCAGTGTAAGTAATGTACAACATACTTGAAATTATTCTATGCATGCAATAACACATACACTTACAAAATACAAGTAAGATTACGGTGGGCAATGTTCTTAGAAATAGGTGCTTTCAACAGATTCTTATTTAATCAAATACATTCACTTCAATGTTTTACAGTGTAAGTAATGTACAACATACTTGAAATTATTCTATGCATGCAATAATACTTACACTTACAAAATACAAGTAAGATTACGGTGGGCAATGTTCTTAGAAATAGGTGCTTTCAACAGATTCTTATTTAATCAAATACATTCACTTCAATGTTTTACAGTGTAAGTAATGTACAACATACTTGAAATTATTCTATGCATGCAATAACACATACACTTACAAAATACAAGTAAGATTATGGTGAGCAATGTTCTTAGAAATAGGTGCTTTCAACAGATTCTTATTTAATCAAATACATTCACTTCAATGTTTTACAGCGTATGTAATGTACAACATACCTGAAATGATTCTATGCATGCAATAATACATACACTTACAAAATACAAGTAAGATTACGGTGGGCAATGTTCTTAGAAATAGGTGCTTTCAACAGATTCTTATTTAATCAAATACATTCATATTGTAACTTTACAGTGGACAGTATTCTTGGAAACAGGCGGTTTTGACAGATTCTTATTTTTCTAATGCATTCATCCTGTAAGTTGTCATGGCATGGCTTGATGGTTAGGGAGCTCTCATCGAAACCTGCGTGTCACACAAAGAAAACAGAAAAAGTTATGGCATTCAACTTTTCATCTTCCTTTGCCCTTGCAATAGACCTAAAAAAGGCTACCCAAGCCTAGAAAACCTATTACTGAGCACAGAGAACTACTTGTATTGTTGGACAGCACACCAAGTCGCAAAAATGTAGTTTGGCAGGATATAATTGACATAAGATGTATTCGGCTCTTTGCAAGTTGAAAGAGATCAAACAGTTGTGTCACAACACTAATTTACCAACATCAGTGTTAGGATTAGGCCAAAGAATAAGTGAATTTGTTAACGTTAACCCCAAATTAATACTAATTGCAGTTGACCAGAAGAATGATGCTGAAGTACATTGTGAGAAACTTCCTGACAGAGAACCCATGGTCAGAATAATTGCACGAGAAAAGGAGTAGAGGTGTATCAAAACTATACTATACAGACACGATATGCTCCTATGGAGAACGAAAAGGTAGCTGATCTCAATCAGATGCTATGTATTAATGAACCTGCCCCAGATTCATGCTACAAGCAGCTAGATGTATTATATTTCCCAGACGTTTTCAAATATAGTAATGGTAGGTAGCTTCAACCTAAGGAAGTGCAGCTTGGTGATTCAGACTATGTTAAAACTATAATGCAGTCACATTATGCTCGATTTAGATTAAATCAGGATTTCTGTTCTACCATCTTCATCATGCCACCATACATCAGCTAAATAATGGAATATTTCACAAATTAAAAGTTATTTGTAGATTTGACCAATATGTTTGCTCTCTTATAAACAGTCAGCAGTGCTGGGCATGACTGTAAAATGACCTAAATGCAGTGACTCTGCACTATGGTCTAGCTACTTGGTTTCTTACTCTGAGTCCTGCTGAATAGATGTGGGATGATTTGGGCGAATATTTACGTAAGATTAATTCTTCTGGAATGTCTCATCTGTCCACAAGTGCACTGGATGCAGCTGTTTCAATATCAGTTTCTAGATTTATGGATAACACGTTTAAAGGAATCTTCAAATTCCTTACATCAAGTGATGCTCCTATTGGCACAGTCACTCACAATTTTTGGAGACGAGAATGCCAATGACGTGGACTATAACATTTTCAATTACAGCTTTGGTAGATGGTGGTTCTGTGATTGGTGAAAACCCTTCAAAATATGTTAATTTCCAACTTCAGAATAAAAGCTTATGTCCAATATTGCATGAAAGAGTATGAAAATGTCAGTCTCAACATTGCAATAATTACTGCTTAAAGTCAAAGAAAACCAAATCTGGTATTAGAAAAGTTTGTTGATTTTGTATTCCAAGCCCCAAAAGAGAAAACATTGTAACGAGTGTTGTTGGATCATGGAAGATCGTATAGGCGTGAATTGGCAATCAATGCTTACCTTCTGGCTACCGCATATGATAAATGACTACAACCCTGCAGCGCTGTTAGCTTGGAAGGGTAATATAGATCTGCAATATATAGGAGAGAAGTCGACAATTCTAAATTGTTAGATTAGAAAGTGCACAAAGAAAGCAGAAAAAGGTATGACAATACTGCAAGTACTGAGCTAATCTCCACGAAATCACTAGGTAGTCGTTTATCGAGCGTTGCACAAAGGATCCTTTCTTATCGAAAATGTGGTGCACTGGAAACTAGTAACACGTTATTGGGCTTACTACTGTATGTCACAGATCCGGGTACTGTATTGTGATGTGTTGACATAAACATGATTCACAGTCTCAGAGTTAATGAGCACCACATTATAAGTGGGTTTCCTGAGAATTCTGGAGGTCTATTAACTGTATCTCAACAGACCACCTGAGTTTGAGGAGACTAATCTATTTGATTTTCTAGCTTGTTATGAGATTGTGAACAGGTAACCCAGTGATAATGCTACATTCTATCTTATGTTTCATCGCTTCTTAAAATAACTATACAGCCATACATAATCAACCGTTACATATATAACCCACAACAAGAATTGGAAACACACTTCTATTCCATGTTATTGTTCAAGTCCTGGAGAGAATGCAATAGCCTAATGAGAAATTGCTCCAATTACACCAAAGCATTTAATGTTTGATCCAAGTCCATTGGATCGTTTGAAATACCATGACTAATTGTCTCGTTTGCAAGAAGTGGGCATATCAAGCATATATGGAAGCTGAAGAACAGCAAAGCAGTGGCCCTCCTGCTAGTAGTCCTTTGCACCATATTGCTACTGAAGCACACAATGCTATGGTATAATTTGAAGATATCTTTCACCATGATGAATATGTAGATGTGAATTAAATGATTCGAAAATTGAATGAGGACCAACAGAGGGAGTCCAAAAAGGTCAAGACTACCATAGAGATCCAAACAAATGCTCATCTTGGCAGCAATATTTTCTGTTAGTGGGTCTGGTGGCACTGAGAATAAACTGATAAAGATGTTGCCATTGCAGTATCGGCAGATATTGCTGCATTTAATATTAATGAGTTACCTATTCAGCAACTTCTGATGCTGCTAGTGGAACAAGGAAATACACTACAATATTGGCCCATGTCTGATGATGCCCTGAAAGTTGTGTGTGAAAGGTTGTGGAGAAATTTGTCTTTGTTTGATGAGTTGCTGATAAATATGCAACAGAAAAGATCAATACTTTGTTCCTATGGTATCCAGAATTCATCTTGGTTATGTTACTGATGATCTCAGGATTATGGAAGAGCATACCTTGTGTTCCAATGATGACAAAATATGTGGAAGAATGAAAGAAGTGGTAAAACACTTTCTGATCTACCAACTGGCACAGTGTGTCTGTTCCTCATCAGACACATATGCGATGAGCTAAATAATGAAATGTAAAAATCTTAATGGAGAAAAAATGATTTGCCGGCTCTAGATATGGTGGATTGTTTTGATATTTTTTGTTCAGAAGTCTCCAAAAAGTTTGCTTGGAAAAAGATATAGTCATAGAGATTAGCTGCAAGGTTATGCTCTTGTACTCATACATGGAGCAATAGGTACTGTGTGTTCTGTTAAGTATAGCATACATCAAGTTTAGTAATGGTCATAAACATTATATGAAGAATTCCAATAAATAGTAAATTACAAGTGTTGGATAAAGCTTTTGTTTTCCAATGCCAGTTTCCAATTGCTAGCACATATGCTAACCCCATTTACAATATGTAAGGATTAACTGTGCACAGTGTTGTTACAGACATTGGCAACATAATCTTTACCTATGGCCAAAGCTATGTGGCATTGTATAGCGTAACTAGTTTGTCTAGTCTTCACTTTATAAACATAGATCCTTGTTCTATAAAAGCATTGGATTTTGCTGTGATTGAATATGTTTATCTCTTGCAGAAATTACGACCTATGCTCCCATTGTGAACTTCCTATAAGAAGAGGTACAAACCTGTTCCTGACAGACAGTGAAATACTCTCATAAAAACCCAAGTGTAAATCATTGGCCCCTTTGGGCCAAAATGCAGTTGTTAAAGTTTGATCATTACAGTGATTCCATTTTCCATTTATTAAAATAATACTCATATAACCAACACCAGCCTTATTGTTTTGCCTGTAGCACACATGCTTTCAATTTAAAAAGACGATCACCTACCTTAATTGAACTACGCGGAACAAAGTTGATACTTGTCTTTCGCTTTACCTTACGATTACCTGTTGTACTTTTTCAATCATCAAGTTTAAATGAAATTAATTGTTAAGCACTACAAGCTGGGTGCGCACCTTGAGAGGTGCATTACAAATGTTGCATACGCTACTATCTTGCACTAACCACTTTTAAGCAAACCATCCATTCTTATGCTGTTTTGAGCATCAGGAACCGAAATATTCATGACTGTTCCATGCTAGTAACAATAATTTATTACAGTTATTGCACAAAGTTTTTGTAGTAACGCAATGGTTTACCAAAAAAAAAGACAGGCTAGTATAATGGTTTACAAGTAATTGAAAAAAATGTATAG